TATACACAGCTTGTTAAAGGCTAGATGTGACACAGGAATGGCATCTGTATCGTATCTTACTTATGCCAAAAGACTACTTTGAGATAGAAATTGTGATTGCAGGACATGTGTGCAACTGTATTGTAGGCCACTTAGTATAGACAAACAACATGTGATAGACAAGTGGGCGAAAGTACCCTTAAGGTTGTGGTTGGGCTCTTTGGGTTAAATTACTTTCACATTTGTTTCCATACTGAGTTATTACAAACAAACCGACTACTGAAACTCATCTTTTTCTGACTGTTACCCTCCGCTGTGCCCCTAGCTTTTTCAATGCTGTCTGGTGGTCAGAAGCAAAACAAAGTGCATGAATACATAATGTCATGAATTGAGACTACAACTGGATATCATCTATCTGTCATAAACAATAATGGACATGTACAGAAAGAGGACAGAGACACATGGCACAGTATAAAGAGAGATGGGGTGGGGATATTAATGTATGTGTACTTGCTTTAAAAATAATTGATCCAAAAATTATGAAAGGTGAAATGGTTTCTGTGAATTGAAAAAAAAAGATCACTACTTATGTTTTATTCACTTTTTCTTTTAAAATAATTTATTTTCATAAAGTAAGACAACAGCACAACATACCTTTAATTAAACCTTTTGTGACTCCCTGAATGTTGTGGAAAATCCCTGCACACACATCTTGATATGCTTACACATTACCGTGGTTACCAAATGATCTTGGATCATGTTGGGAGATTTGACAGCATACAAATTGTGGAAATTTGCTTGTTTTATCTTTTCAATTCATGCAAGTGTCACACATCCACTGTCACACAATCCTGTGGTTGGGCCACCAAATTGTTTCACCACAAACAAACCGCACCGGAGTTTGTGTGGATGTGGATGAAGGCCAATGATGGTGTTGAAACCAGCCCAAATGAAACAGACCTGACAGGGAACAATGCTGGAGTTTATTTGAATTAAACCAAACTGCAGAGGTATAAAACCAGACACAACACCAAACCAAATGTTACAGAATAGAATTGCAGAAGTCAATGAAAACTCATCATGTCTGTTTCTTAGACTCTAAAATTCTTGATCTGATTCAAAAGAACTTGCAAAGACACTTTCAGGGTCATAGTTATCTCAACAAACTGCAACATCCAGACAAGTTATAATTTGCTTAAAATCACAATCAAGATTCTCCACTTCACAAAACAGCAGAATAGTGATTGTGTACAGCAGAGATGAGTCATAGTTTGACAAATTTTCTAAAGGGCCTGTCAGCCATTATTGTGTTTTCTTGCTGCACAGAATCCAGTGCTTGGACAGTATGTGCAGGGAGGTGTCAGTGGTGGCGGGTTGCTTAACACAAGATCGCATTGGGAGTGTAAAGTGGAAATTGCAACAGTGGTTTTTTTCATGGACGTCTGCTTAACTTGTTAATATGCCTTACACAATCCCATGTCAATTTTTGGCTCTGAACACGGGTAATTCAGCTCAGGAAGTAGAGGTGATCAATCAAATTGGCAGAAAGCTGGAGATGATGGCAGTTGGAAATTTCCAGTGAAGAGAGCGTTTATGTGCGTCTTAACTGGTTAAATGGATTTCTACATAAAATGTCAGAAATGACATTGAAATTAAATGAAAACACGTTTCAAGTAAATTCTAAAATATTGAAAATCAAATGTAGCCAATGTTCTGTGGAAGCTCTTTAAGCACCGATTATCTGTGAGTCATTGTTCATATGTCAACTTTAGATTTTGGGATTTTCCCCTCAGCCTTCCGCATTGTTTTACCCAGGCACAGCCGGATGAGTTGGACGAGGAGTGTGTGTCTATAACTAAAGTCAAGTCATGGGTCTGTGGCCAGGTGGGCTATTTTCAGCTGGGAAGCACCTGTGAAATGCATTTTTTTTTTGTTTTGTTTTTTTCCCTAGACTGTGAGTTTGAGGGGAAAAAAAGTCATGACATTGAAGGGATACTGTGCCAGTTTTAACCAGCTTTGTATAATAACAATGTGGGTGTGATGTGTAAATGAATTTTTGGTAAATTCCCTCCATTTCACCAGTGCCTAGATCTCCCCGCTGTGTCAGCTCAAATCTTGCTCTAGGGTTGTTGCTCAAACTACATATTATTCTTCCACATTTTTGTATGCCCACCACCACGTGTATAGAAGCGGATCAAGAGAGAGCCCACCCACCCACCCCCTTTCCCCTCTTTCTCTCTCAAACTCAGACCAAACTTAGATCCAACACTACAACTAGGCAACACTGATCAAATACAAACCTAGATTCTTCCAGTGTATTGCCTATTTCTCTCCCAAAATGTCTTCAGAAACATATTTTAGTGCACTGTTCTGCTGTTATATGAGAATTTGTGAATAAGAAGATACTGTTTCCTGTATTGTAAAAAAAAGGCTGAAAATACTTGGATGAAATTGTAAACTAAGCACCACTGATCAATATGGACCAAGATTTTGTTTTGCTACTGCATCAACACCAAAACCAGAAGCACATTTTAGCTTACTATTTAACTGCAATTCGACATTGTTTGTTACCAACTGGCCGTCATATATTTCCCTGTTGAAAAGCATCCAAGCTCACATTACGTCACCCCCCAAAAAGAGTGTTTGTTGGTCTGGTGCAGTGTTGTGCATTTTGGTAGTTGTAGGTTTTCTACCTCTTGAGCAAAAGCAAATGCCACATCCCTTTTCTTCTGTTTTCTCCAGTCATATAGCACCAATTTCAAAAGTATTTATGTCTCTCTTCTGCATGGACAGCCTAGTTTTATGAAAAGACTATATTTCCAGCAGTGAAGTACTTCTTTAAGTGAGGGCCCAGAGTTCTTTCCTCCTGCTACCAGAGCTCCAGGTGTATATTTTATCCAGAACTGGCTTGCTTTTGGTGTCTCTGACATTTAGCCCAAACTTGTAATGCATGACCTGATTCTGCCAAAAAGTTTCTTAATTTTGTCTTGTGGGGACTGATCTCCTCTGTGACCCTATTCCATCTTGCTAACCCACATATTTTGATCAGAAAGGTCATGATGGAAGAATTCTCATAATGTTTTTTGATTTTTTTAACCATAGACTTACATGTGAACTCCCAGCTCTGGTAACTGCTCCTGACCTGTTGTTGTTTTGGACCGGATATTTTCAATGTGTACTGTGGGACCTTATTTGAATGTTGTACAGCATCTATTTGTGTATTTCTGACTCCATTTGTAGAGATCTAAAGGTATTTTGTTGTACCAATTTCAAGTCTCATTGCAAAGGGCACAATGGCTTGTTTTCAAAGCATCGCAGCTTTTAGCTTGGATTGAAAAGCTGTGTGATAATGTGTACGTGCCACCGTGAGGTGATCTGAATGCTGTCATCTGAACTGTATACACAACAAAGACACTGTATGCCACAAAACAGATAGAGAAAAGGTTCAGCGTTCCACACACAATCAGCTATTGTTTCTCTTTCTCTGTGTATGAACCTGTATAGAACTGAAAAGGTATAATAAAATCAAGTCTTGTGTGTGTGTGTGTGTGTGTGTGTGTGTGTGTGTGTATATAAAATGGCAGAAATATTTTGAACCCTCAAAAGTGAAACTGGGCCTTATGGACTTTAAGTATGAGGCTTAAAATAACTGATCCTTAGCCACTAATTAAAAAGTGGCTGAAGAAAAGTTCCTTGATAGGTCCAGTGGCGACCCCAGAAATCTTTAATTGGTGAGGCCAGATGGGGGCATTGAAGATCCTGAAGTGGTGAACCAACACCAACAGTCATAACTGAATTTCAGTAATTCAGTTATTCTGTTAAAGTATATAAGCAAGTTGAACTATGTCATTACTTATTTGACAGTTAATATCATTGACATTGGGCGAGACGTGGGGTACACCCTGGACAGGTTGCCAGGGCTGACACATAGAGACAGACAACCATTCACGCTCATATTCACACCTACGGGCAATTTAGAGTCACCAGTTAACCTGCATGTCTTTGGACTGTGGGAGGAAGCTGGAGTACCTGGAGAAAACCCACGCTGACACGGGGAGAACATGCAAACTCTGCACAGAAGGGCTCCCCCACCCTGGGTTTGCTCTAGGAACCCTTTTGCTGTGAGGCGACAATGCTAACCACTGCAACACTGTGCTGCCGTTAATATCACTAATCATCCGCTCATAACGGCACTGTTAACATTTTGGATTCCACAACAATACTGTTTTTTTGTGTTATGTATCTATACATGTGTTAGGTGGTTCATTGTTCTTCAAATGAACTCATTGTCCTTTTTCTTAAAAAGACAAATATGCAGCTTTGATTTGAAGGAGTTCACTGAGGAACAAAATATTTACTGGAAATGAACCTTCTCAAATTAAGGGAGGTAACCACAGAACCCATATTCATTCAGATATCTTGAGGTCAGAGGTCAAGACACCTGACAGTTTTTCTGTCACCAACATTTAGCCTGACTTTGGAGCATTATTTAGCCCCTTATTCAGAAAGCTATGCTGCCATGGTTGGCGCCAATATATGTCTTAGGTTGTCTAGTTTCATAAAATACTACTACCTTTGCACTTGCTTAAAATATGAGCTTTCTTTTAAGGGCAGTAATGTCTGCCCCTGTCTATATGTCACAGAGGGTGGGGGGCAGGAAATGTGTAAGGGGGATCATGGCTCCCCCTGGCCCCACCTTGGGGGCACCACAGGAGAGGGTGAAAATGATTCCCTTGCTTGCAACCATTTACTGTTTACAACATAGGGCCAATATTATTGACTATATCGACATATCAGTTAAATTTTATGTTAGAATTAATGACATCCCACATTCGAGGTAAAGAATACCTCAAACTGTACCCTGATTATTACCCTTAAATTTCCCTAAAATCTCTAATAGATACAATGGGTGAGTATTTGTGCATGTGAGAATGCAAGTTATAATTCATGTGTAATCAATAAGTTATGTAAGTGGCCTGTATCTTTCTAAGAATAACACAAAGAAGTCAAAGACAACAGCATACATTCATTTCTTTATTCAGCAATTTATTTTGTCCCTTTTCAGGCAATTAAAAATATAAGATTCTCTTTTGTACTGCTTTTTCTCACATTGGTATTTCACAGACGTTAAAATATTTCTCCATAAATAAAGTACAAAATACATTTTTTTTCTTTAAACACAAATAAATATCATAATAAATATATTAGTTTAAGTTAAACGACACAAGGCAACCAATAACCAAAAGGAATACTGTGGTGTTAAAGTCCCTGAACCAGGCTGTCAAACAAACGGGACAATAAAAAGATGGGGTGCAGTTTTCACACGAGCAGAGATAACAGACGGTTTTACATAATTAAATATGCGTCGGCGTACAGATACTCACATCTGAACTGACATACATTTTTACATTATCACACTTTGATCTTTCAGCATTCTGCAACTTACACATGCTTGCACCCCAGGTCTCAGGAAAATAACGGTTACACATGTACACCCACACGCACAAGTACAGGCACACACATACACACTTACACACACACAGAGCAGAGTGAAGTATGAAGCTTTGGTTGAATGCTACTGGGAGACTTGAGAGTTTCTCCCATTTGGATTAGCTGTAAAGTGCATATCACAGATAAAATGGCATCAATGACACATGTCAGGTCTCACTGATTAAGGCTACTGAATCAAACATACTGTTTGTGGCACCGAGAGTAAATAGCCTATAAGGCAGGGATAATCTTTAAGGCGCAGGAATTCATGATTATCACTAAAGATAAGCCATTTTGATCACTATAGATTTATGTTAAGTACAAACCAGACTATTTACTGGTACTATCAAGACCTGCAGGGTTAATTTTTATGGAAGACCACATACAAAGTCTAATAGGCTACACAATGTTTTTAAGTATAAAAATAGAGTCTGATAACATTTGGGTACTAAAATCATCTCAGTATGTGTAGATTTTCCAAGATGAGTTCCACTTTACAAACATAAATTAAGAACATTAAGTGTTATTGTGTCAAAAGTTGACTTGTCCTGATCAGTTCTGGTTCTGAAGAAAGTCCAGATAAACAAACGCAGTTAACAAAGTGTCAGTTCTCTTCTGCTCCTTCCCTTTGAATCCGTTTAGTCGGACAGAGACAGGCGTTCAAACACAGTGAGCCTCTTGGTGGTCGAGTCGAATGTTGGAGACTCGGTTCCACTGGAACCTCCGCTGCTGCTGCTGTAGCTGTCCTCCAGGGAGTCCTCGGAAGAAAAACGCTGGAGCACAGCAGGCTTCGTGAATCCTCCATGGCCTCCAGGACCAGGAAACAGCATGCTGTCGTCTTGGTGGTGCCCGTCCTCCATGCTGGCAAAGACTCTGCTGTTGTTGCTGTTAAAGTTATTTCCATGGCCACACACACAGCGTGAGGCTTTTGGCTCCAGGATGAGAGGAATGTTGTGGATGTCTCCGGTGCTGGCGCGGGTCTGAAGGTTGCCAAACTGGAATGCTGCTGACTCCCGCTGTAGGGAGTCCCCAAACACTGGGGAGAGGAGATCAGCGGGAGGTGGGGAAACGGACGGAGCACGGCTAAACCCCAGGTTGGGATCGTTGAAGGAGGAAGAGAATGATGGAGGAGGGGGTGAGCTGCGTGAGGAGCCTAGGAACCCAGCAAAGCTGACACTTTGGCGCAGCTGGTGGCGTGGATTCTGACCACCGGGGGTTGGTTGCTGCTGATTCTGGAATTTGGCAGGTGGTAACGGAGCTCCGCTGACTTTGTCCTCATGGATGAAGTGGCAGCGTGAGCCGTAGGGGCAGTAGCCAAAGTTGTAGAAGGTTCTGCAGGGCTCAGTCTTGTATTTAGGGTGGCGGAACAGTCCACGCAGCTCTGCCTCTCCATGGGCAAACTGGCACTTACTGCCATATTTGCAGCTGCCAGTCTCTTGGAAGCCACGGCACAGCTCCGTCTTGTAACGATTAGGAGCCACCACTGGTGGAACCTGGGCTGGGAGGGTGGATGAGGGAGGAAAGCCAGGCGGTGGAGCCACAGTAGTAGCAGGGGGGAAAGCATCCAGGTTCTTCAGCTGTCCGAAGGAGGAGAGCAGGCTGATGCTGGACTCGGTCAGGCTCATGGAGCGGTCGGGCCTGAAGGGAGGCTGTTTTGGTTTGGAGACAGGGGCCTGGCTCCAGATATTGGATGACCAGAAAGGGCTGCCATTGTCGTTAATGTTAACATGCTCAGTGCTCAAGCTGTGGCTCGAGGAGGCAGGAGGGGAGGGGGGGGAGAAGAAGGAGGTTGACCGGTTCAGCCGACTCTGCCCCGGGCCTTTCAGTTGAGACTGTTTCGTGAGCAAAGCTTCATCCAGGGCCAGGTTCATGAAGTTCTGTTACAGAGAGTTGACAAAGTTACTATACAGACTTTGATGTATGTTATATATTCATCATCCATTTCCTCTTTAGACCTACTTTCTACAACAAATCTGTTTCAAGTTAGTCTTTTAATCAGCAAAGTACAAGTTATTCTGGAGCAGTGTCATATTTACAATCTTTTATTTCTTAAAGACAGAAATGAGACACAAACGCCAAAACAAAGTCATTAAGAAGGCAATTATAAACAAACAAAAACACCCCAACTGTTCAGTACTAAACCTTTATCTTCCATTTACATGCAGTCACAAAATACAAATTAAATGCAAATAGTTGCAGTTTTTGACTCTTTTCTGTTTCTCATGAATATTCCGCGCAGTGGCAGATTGGAAGTGAAGAAACAAACAACCCAGCGCTGACTGTCTCCCTTATCTCATTATCTCTTTAAACTGGAGAAATCCTCTGTGACTAAACTCGTTTCAGAAGGAATTCACCGTCAAATCACTGATTCACAGAGGAATAAAACCAGCAGGATTAAACAAATAAGCAAACACTTTGTGGAGAGGAGTTACAGAGCTGACCCACTCCAACTTCATGAAGCCTTTTTTTTTTTTTCCAAAACAAAATTCCAAAACTTTGACTCACCTTTGCGAAGATGTTGTCAAGCATTTCGGACATGCTGTATCCCTTTGGCCAAAAAAGAAGAAGATTCAGCTCTGATCCAGGGTTGACTGTTGGTTACCTGTGTCCAGCTTTAAGTCAAGTTAGATCTGTGCTCTGTTTGCTGGGCTTATATCTGCCTAGAGACTCCTCCCTCAGGCTTTGGGTGGGGTTTCCACTTGGTATGTTCCCGGATGACCCTCCCTCCGCCTCAAGTTTCATGGTGAGCTCAGAGAAGGGAGGGGAGTAAAACAACAACAAAAAAAGAGAGAGAGAGAGAGAGAGAAAAAAACTGTGTATTTTTAGCTAGCTGTGTGAAATGCTTCAGTTTCGTAGGCATGTGAAAGCAAAGTGGCTTATTGACATAGCTCTCAAACATGCCCTCCATGTTGGCCTGTAGCTCACACTTGTTGTGTTTATTCCTATTCTGTACATGTTCATTCAGAGGTTCCTGCAGACTGATAAATCATCCCAGCTCTGAAAGTCTTCAGGCTCTGAAGATGCCAGATGTGAAGTGGTAAACAAGTGTGTTCAGACCTGTACACTGATCATTTTCATATTTTCATCCCACGTCGGCATGCAAAACAAGCACATACACACAGGCATACATTTACAGCACATACATCACTGTGACTAATGGTGGATTTTCAGGAAGTGTAATAAATCATCTTGTCCCTAATCGTATAAAGTTTCTGAGCGTTTTCACCCACAGAGAGGAGAGAATATATCACTGAACCTTATTATTTCCCAGAATAAGTGCGGCTATATTTCCCCTCATTTCCTTCGGTTTCTGTTGTGATTACAACAGGACTCCAGTATTCCACCAAAGCACTGAAAGAGTCAACAGCACAGCCAGTATCAGTATTGATTAGCAAAAGGCAGAAACTTTTGGGCTGTAAACAAGATAGAAGCGGGCAAAAATAAACTGAACACTGGACTCGTATTTGCGATTTGTACATCAGAAATGACATTTTTATTTTGTGCTATGCTCAACACTGTTCTTTTAAGCACTCTATAGTATCATTTTAATATTTAGATTTTTATCTAAGCAAACCAAGCACATTTTTTGAGCTGTTTTTATGGAAGATTCACGCCCTCGTCGCACTCTTAACTTCATGGCCCACAGTGGAAATTCTTCTTCATCTTGTCAAATAAACTTCACAAACAAAACTGAGGATGTTTTTACCAGAAGATTACTGTTAGTGGCTTTTTTTCTGGTTTCTATAGTGAGCGCTGCAGCAGTCTTTTTTGTTTTCCTTCTCATAGGAATTCAGAGGAGCGTGGCAGCTGTTTCCCCCCCACAAGAACGTATTACAGTAACAGTGTGTGTGTGTGTGTGTGAGCGTGTGTTATGTGATCCTGTGTTATTTTGTAGGGTACTACAACTGTACACACACTTGCTTCAGGTTATTTCCTTGACTCACACACTACAAGGGCTGTATTCACGCTGTGTCACCTGACTTTCAAGTCTAGAAATGTGTCACATGCTCTTGTCTTGTAGTTTAGAGATTGACTTAGAATAGCTTGTGTCGCTGACTGTGATCGAATCTGCATTGCTGTGTGTATTGATAATCTATTAATGAAATCACAAGACTGATATTATTGTCTTGATTTCTCGCAGCGAGATATGTGGGCGAGAGTAAAGCAGAGAAATTAAAAGACACAAGACTTCTGACCTGGTGAAACTCCAATAAATATTGACACGATCTGATGTCTGTCAGCGTATCTATCAGCTTCCGTTTCTTTCTATGCGACTGATGTGCTGATATCAGCTAATTGGGAGAGTACACATTTTCTGTGCTGCTGCTGCATGTGTCACCTCATAATGAGTCACATATATTCCTGGCAATGACGGTGCAAACGTCCTAATAGAATGTTGTGCAAGTGTAGAAAAGTCACTGCAATATTAATTGCTAAGGGGTTTTGTGTGGTGGCGGTAAACAAAAGGGTGCCACCAGAAAATCCACCAGACTCAGCCTGAGGGCAAAACACAAAATACACAAGGATTGTGCACACAAAAGAGCTCATGAGTCATATTAGATAATGATTTCAAGTTAAACAAAATGTTATATGTCTACATTGCGACGTTAAGGTCAACAACTCAAGACGATTCAAGATTGCTATATTGGTGAAACCATGACACCAGAGGGACTTCATTGCAAATGTTTAGCTGACAGAAGTTTTAAAAGTATTCAGATACCGGGGTGTATGGTATGTGACAGTATTTGTGTGCTGTGCCACCACCTGCTTTGATATGATTTTGATAGAAGGATAAACATCTGCATTTTTTTTCGATGGTATTGAAAATCAAATTGTCAGGTTTTCTAAATACCCTGGTATATTTTAATACCGTAATACCACCCAAGTCTAGCAACAATACCACAATAAGTAGTCCTTCACTTTGAAATAATAATAATAATAATCATAATAATAAATAAATATTAGGAGTAACATATTCTGAAAGATATGATATGTATATCAAATGACTCCTCTGGACAAAATGGAAGTACACACGTGAAAAATGAGAACATTAAATTTAAGTGAAGCACCTAATTAAATATTGCCGACACACTCAGTAACTTCCCAATTTAAGAAACCGTGAGGTGTGACACAACTGTAGTTTCACTACAGTTTACCACTAGATCTCGTCTATGTTGTTCCTGCTCTGTTCTCACTGTGTTTTACTTCCCCCACATGTCAGTATATGCATCAGATTCTCAGTTTAATGGTTTTTAAAGTTACTGTGATATAATGTAGCATTTGGTCTTTAAATGGCACCGTAGGGATGCTTGATTGTGGCGATTTCCTTAATAGAAACCAAGAAGCTTCCGGAAAGAATTACACCCACCATCATCACAATTCACAGCCCTTTAACGCAGACAGATGGACAGACTGACAAGCCGACTGAGGCCAAGCAGGCCTCTCATGTTCAGCTATTAATAACCGCAGCTTCATATAAATAACCTGCCTAACTATAAATCCAACAGCATTACATACTTTGGAAAGTATATTATGAGGCTGTGTGAAGGGTGTGGAAAAATTCTTCCCATCTTTCTAATTGTTCCTGTACTTTTTCAGATGTTTTTTTTCCTCACAAGAATGCCAGTAAATTGGGGACGCGCGTGTTTGTAGTGTGTGTTTCTGTATTGGTGTGTGTGTTTGTGTGTTGTGGTTACCTCGCTCTGCTTGTTTCTGTTCTGTCTCTTGCCTCAGCTGCATGGAAAGTCACTCCAGCAGGGAGGGGCACTCACACACTCACATGCTCGCACAAACACAAGCTTAAAGGAGCATTCCTGCTGACGATGGCCTCTAGGTTGTTGTTTTTTTTTTTTCTTCCCTTGGTGACTAAGTGAGCAAGTGCTCAATGCCAGGTTTTCCACTGGGGTTTTTCTTAAGTGACATGCCAGCGTACATGCAGCCCCTAACATGTTAGGACTTGATCGCGCAGCGCTGCGTCAGACATGTTGCAGAACAGAGTGTAAAGTATGAGTGGATTGTGGGAAAATGTGTAATATGAGAAATGGGGGCAGGTTGGAAAACTGTGACTAATCCATAAAAACCAAACAAATTAAAAAAAAAGTAAAAAAACGCACGAGTTGGAACCTGCGTAATGGTTAACAAGCTCAGGTGTTAAAAATCTTAAACATATATTTTTTCAATATGAATTTTAAGTATTTTGTCATGTAAATATTTTAGGGACAGTATCGAACCCTTAAGAGCAAGCACACACTATGCTTAATTTCATCACATGAACCTTAATATGACAATCTTGTGGTTCCATTACATAAAACTGACACACTTGTTTTGCTATGACACCCTCTGAAAATATGACATGGATGCTTCCTTCATTGTCTGCAGTATGACACCTTACAGGAAGAACACTTTTATTATCTAAGAAACGATGAAAGTCCTTGTTCTGCTGTAAACTAGCATAAAGGAATTTTCTACTCTTATCTTAACAGTAACTGTAAAACCATAAACAACAAAGAATAGGAGAAGCCTCAGACAGAACAGGTACATAGAATATACCCAATGTCCCTTTATTGTGCTTGCATGGTGTCATGGTGAGTGTGTAACATTACTAAGCTGTGTACACAGATGGATCATTAACTAGCATAGGCCTGCTGACCCTTATCTACTGTGTAGAATCTGCTTTTACATGTAACTCTATCAGGAGACTAAATCAGTGGTTGAAACATATAGAAAGGCAGTACTTCTTCTCCTTTGCCTGGTAAGTGTTAAGTATAAAATTGCCTCACCAGTGCTTAAAGCAAATTGAAATTACAATCTCTTTTTGAGTAAATGTAGTTTAACAATAGTGTAAATTTTACAAGTAGACTGCAGTCCAAATCTCAATCAAGTAGAAGTGTAGAAATATAATCAGCAACTTGAACTTAAAGTAGCGATAGTAAAAGATTTTGTTATGCAGATGACTGGCCCCTTATTGTTACAGATGTTTTACAACGGTTGTAGATGTTTACTAGACCAAATAACGATGTTTGTTTACAAGGGTCCATGTCATTGGTTCGACAGCCCATTGGTTCGACATCCCATTAGTCCGACTGTCCTCGGTGCTGAACGGCTTGCAGTGGGCGTATGGTGCGCCGCGACCGGCTTGAGGCGGAGCAGGCTCACGGTTTATGTGTTTGTCACTTTCTTTTTCATTTTAACCCACACCATGATCTTTTCCTAACCCTAACCAAGTGGTTTTTGTGCCTAAACCTAACCAGACCTTAACCACAGGGCATCATGATGATTTCGGAACGGACTTCGGAACAATGAGTTTAATATGGTCGGAACAATGGGATGTCGAACCAATGGGCAGTTCCCGTTTACAATAGCTTCTGGGTAGATTACCCCCGTGTCACAAACATAAAATGAAATGGTGCTGAGCAAACCATGCCTCAACTGGTTAGTTTTTAGCCACCTAAAAAAAATCAGTTTTTGCGTAACACAATTTGTAGAATATTTTCACTGCTTTACCCTGATTTCGGGCAGCCATTTCCAACTAGGAGCTTAAGCTTTTATCTCAAGGCCACCAGACTCCATTGACAAAGGCAGTAATTTTACTTCTTACTGCAGCCTCTATCAGTTATAGTGTATAAGATAAAACGGTGAAAATATTGTCAGTAAAGCG